ATCCGTCTCGGAGAGCGCTACACGATGCTTCGATCCGTCGGATCTCAGGCCCGGGGCAGCGTTTCTGTCGGCCCTCGGCGGGTCTCCAGCCTCAGGATGCTCGCCAGCCTCTGCGCCTGGCCGAGGGCGTTCCGGGGGCGCCTGGATCTCGTCCCGAGCGGCCGCCGGAGAGCCGAGCGTCATGACGCCCGGCAGTCAGGGGCGAGCAACGTCAGAGGGGAGGGCCAGGCTCGGGGGGGGGGGGGACGCATCGACCCCGAATCGCCCAATGATCGCCACTGGGGGCCAGAGGGGGCGACTCCAAACAACGGGTAAGTCTGCGCCGACATCATTGGCGCGTAAGCTGCCCGCGTAAGGTCGCGCGTAAGCGCCCTCGTCTCCAATGCAGCGTGCCGCGCTGGCGGCCCGCGTAAGTTGCGGCGTAAGGTCGCTACGTCATCTCGTGTAAGACCCGTTTTTGAACGTCGCTCAGATGACCCTCCCAGGAGCGTGCGGATTTGCCATCGGGGGCCGATGGCCGATGAATCGGTGACGCATCGCCGATTCTGGGTCGATGCTTCCCCTCATGAGCCCGTCTGCCCGCAGGACCGCAGCCAGGGGCCCCTCAAGCCGGCGCCGAAGCGGGTGGTGAAGCCTGGCCCAGGATCGAGGGAGCGTAAGAGGGTTCGAGTTTGCCAGAGCTCGCTCTGGCCGCCGCTTTTGTTGGCGATCTTGGGCACGGCTATAGCTGACGACACAGTTCTCTTTCGTGAGATGTTTGCAGCGGGAGCTCGTGCCAACTGTCAATTTTTCCTGACGGGCCCGTCAGTCTGTAAGTCGAATCCGAGTTTCCCAGGCTCGAGTCCCACGTTTCCCCAGCAGGAGCGTACAACCCGGACCCTGGAGACGGGTCGTTTGAACGCTGCGTTAGCTCGACTCACCAGCGCATGACGCTCAGCAAGTCGCGCACGAACTGGCAGGAGGACGTGGCCATCTCGCGCACGCGCGGCGGCCCGCTGTACGACCCGAACGCGGCCGCCGTGCAGAAGCGCGAGCCCAGCTGGGGCTTCTCGAAGCACGAGGCGAAGGGCGCGAAGCAGACTGGCCCGGGGCCGCAGCTAGAGCACGGGGACAACCTCAACTTCGGCAAGGCGCCCTCCTTCGGCTTCGGCAGCGAGCGGCGAGTCCTGAAGATCCCCACGGCCGGCAACCCCAAGGCGGAGACGGTGCCCGGCCCGGGCCACGTCGAGCCCAAGCGCAACCTCACGGAGCAGGCACAGGCCACCTTCTCCATGGGCTCCCCCCGCCGCAGCGCCCCGGCGGTGCCGTCCAGCGCCCGACGCAGGCCGGCCACGCGTCAGAGCGCCCCCCCGCCGAGGGTTGCCCTTGGTGCGGGCCCACTGCGGGGCCCCCGGTTTCGCCGAGTGCGATGCGGCAGCAGCGGCTCGAGCGCTCGGCTGTGGCCTCCCCCCTGCGCCTCTCGAAAGCCGCGGACCAAGAGCCACTCTTGCCCAGCCAGGCAAGCATGGAGGCATCGAGAGAAATTTACGACCAGAGGCCTGGACCCCATCGTTCTGCCCCACTTAGGAGCCAGAAGCCAGATCGACCTGTGAGGGTCCCACGGCCCGAAACCGGGCGAAAGCGCCCAGGTCGAAAAACAATTGAGACGCCAGGATCTCAGTGCGGGTCACGCTTGCGTGTAGCCGAGCAGGGAGATGCCGGGACCGGGCTCGTACGACACGGTCACGGACTTCGGGCACGAGAGTCCGCGCATGGCGAACCCAGGGCAGGCCACTCCGCGCTGCAGGCTCGGGACGGCCGCGCGCAGCGTGATGGACCCGGTGAAGAAGAGGACTCGGAGCAATACATCGAATAATAGAACAATTGCATAAACAGAAACTGTCGACGGTTCGCGCGGATTTCTCGGATCTGTGCTTGGAGCCCCCTTGCGGCGCCTCCGGCGCCGCTCCTGGCGCGATCCAAGAAACCCGCGCGGAGCTCCGAGAAATTATGTTCTTGCGGGATTTTGTTCCTGTAGGAAAAGGTACTGACACCGACACCGCCACCCCTCCTCGCGTTCGCCTCTTTTGGACCTCTTGGAAGGCACTCGTCGCCAGGGCTGGATGCGCTCCGTCACGTAGGTCAGAACGCACCACAGGAGCGGTCCGCGGAATGACGGTATCTTTGTCTTCTGGGCTGCCAAGGATGGCGCCGGCCCCGGGGGGGTACGACATCCACGAAAAGTCGGTGGGGGCCACGGGCTCGGGCGGTCCCAAATGGAGCATGACTGGCAGGGCCGAGTTCGATCTCGCGGCGTCCACGACTTACGTCTGAGGCCTCGGACGCGGAACGCGTGGCGCGAGCGTGGGGTCCTCTCCCCCATCATTTCGTGCCTGCTCCAGTACCCTCATCCTCCGGCTGCTTTCCTGATCTGAGGCGATCGTTTTTTTTATTTTCCGGCCAAGCCGTGACGAGTGTTGCCTCGAACCAGCTAGGTGTCTCATGTGCGGGCGTCATTTCGTACAGAAGTTTGCTTAGTTTCCCTGATGCGATCTGCGTCAGGCTGTTGCTGGCGGACCCAGCAACTCGTTAGGAGGAGGTGGCGTAAGCCTTTAGGGCTGAACGTAGCCTCCTTGTTTCCTCGCCCCTCCTTCTTCATTATTATACCTCTCGGGCATTCGGGCAATCAGCTTCGCAAGCCTGGGCGTCAGTCACGGCGTGTGCAAATATTGACCTCCGTGCGAAGCAAGTACAAAAACAGCGTGCTCCGCGCCTGTGAAAGGGCGTTGCGAAAACGAGCGCACGTTCCGCCGCTACTTTGGGCTGAGCTAGCTTTAACGGTGAACCAGATCGCCAATTTTTAGATCATTTGTCACGCTGCCATGCGTACGTCTACAGACAAAACGCTGAAATAAGGAACAGCTTGCCGCCTTCCTGCTTCATGTTTCTACCTGCTTGCTCGCGGACCGTCTGGCGTCCCTGGAGACAGTCTTCGGAGCACAGCTAGCCCGTTTTGGGGGACTTATCCTTGTTGGGATCTTTACGCGCCGGTCGGAAGAGGTGGGTAGAAAAGCATGAAGTAGGGAGGCGGGTAAAGTAGATTGGGTTCCGAGCCGCCCAGAGAAGAACAAACACAGCAGCAACATATTGATTCTTTAAATAGGAAGGCACTTAAGCTATATGTTGGTTTGGAAGTTCAAAGATAGTTACTTTCAACGACAGGTGGGTAGGGCCATCTTGGGACTCGTGGGGCCTTCTTGAGCCGTCTTGGGGTTGCCTTGGGGCCGGCGTGGGGCCATCTTGCGCCGTTTTGGGGGCCTCTCGGACCGTCTTGGGAGCTCGATACGGCAGGAAAGGGGAGGTCGCGACATTCGTGTAACAGATTATGCTACCGGAGTTCTCTGAAGTAATTTTTCAAGAGGATCGTGTGTTCAAGGGGTCACACATATTATAAATATTGAAAACATTATCACAAGCATAGGTACGCCCACAAATCCTTTCCCGAGTCCACAGATGCATTCCTCGTCGCGCCTCACAGCGCTCATCCATGTCGCCAGCCACTTCCTCCGATTCTGGACTGCGTTACTCATCGTAGAGAGGCCTTCTCAATGTTTGTTAAAGTTTTCTCGCTAACGGCCTTCTCCCTCGGGTAGACTGGTGGGGCTGGTGGAGGGTATCTGCATGGCTGCCACGGCGGGGCAGCCCTGGAGGGTGAGACGCACCGGTGGAACTGGTATAGTGGGAAGAGCATGCTCTATGATGAGCAACACGGTATCCGCATGCCTGCCGCTGTCTGCCGGAGCCTCTTTGGATAATCAGATTACAGTGGGTAATTCGGTATCCGCATGCGTCCCGCGGTCTGGCGGGGCCACCTGGGAGTATGAGGTGGCAGTGTCGTGATTGGTGGATTGGGGAGGGCAAACCTTGCAAATCACATGGTGTCCGCATGCCTGTCGCGGTTTGGTGGCTCCTGTGTGAAGTGTGAAGTGGCATTCGTGGGGTCGGTGGGAGGGCACGAAACTTGGCAAATTCCGCTTGCTTGCCGCGGTCTGGCATCCGCATGCTTGCCACGGTCTGACGGAGCAGTCTCCTTGGAGGGTGAGATGGCGTCGGCGTGGTTGGCGGAACAGGAACCTAATTCAGGATGTGGGGGATAAGAGTGAGGAGAAGGCCGAAGAGAAGGAGGAGGAGGAGGAGATGAAGGAAGGGGAGGGAAAGACATTGCGTCGTGGGGAAAGACCATGTCCACTCAGGATGTGAGGAATTTCCTGAGGCCGTCTTGGAGGTGTTTTGGGCCCCCCCCTGGGCCATCGCACTTTGGGCGGGAACGCCGTTGAAACCTGCTTGTTCCAGCTGGCAGGCGGGATGCGCCAAGGACCATTCGGAGCCTTGCCGGAGGACCTGGCACGCTCGGCACGCCAAGAACGCCTTGTGGCAAGCCAAGGGGGCGCGGCGGATCCAAGACGCCCACGGCGAATCACCGCCGCCCCGCCCTGGGCGATCTCGACGCACTCTTGTGGCAGCCTGCCTCTACAGCGCTCGGCGACGGGGTGTGCGCATGCACCCTGCGTTCGGGATTTGCATGACGTTCGGTCTGCCGCCGCCGTGTGGCGGCCAGTTGGACGCCATTAGTTGGCGGTCTCGGCGTGAATTCTGACGGTCCGTCTCCGTGAGATGTTTGCAGCGGGAGTTCGCGCCAAATGTCAGTCTCCGTCGGTTTTCTTACGGCACCGCTAGCCAAGCTCGAGTTCCCAAGATTCTAGCCTTGCGTCTCCTCGGTTCGATGCAGGTGCCAGCTCTGGGGATTTGCTCGCCACCTGCCTCCAGGGAGCTTCGGCCTCGAGTGCGGTCGCCCCAGAGGCCCGGCGCTGGCGAAAAAGGACGGCAGTTTGCCCGGATGGACCCTCGAGGGTCCTCAGGGGGGGCCGGGCAGCGCTGGGCACGGACACCCTTGCGCCCCCCGGGGGCGGGAAGCTTCAGCTGGCAACGCTCCGCGAGGCACTCGGGAGTGCACGTCCTGGGGCCTCCTCCCCCCAGCCTCCCTCGTCCGCTCCTCCGCATTCCCATCCTCTCCCACTCCTTCCCTAGACATGTTGGCGTAGTGAGAAAAACACGACGGGCGTTTTTGTTGTTGAATCTGTCGGTTTCTGTGAGCCCTCGCCAGGCCGCGGGACAATCAGAAACACGACTCAGGCTGAGAAGCCTGCCCTGGGGAAAGTCTCGGGACTTCTGGGGACCGCGTATTGACATGATCCGAGACGTGCCCAACCCATTCTCCAGGCAAGGCGACTATGTGTATGAACGTTCCGTACATATTGGCTCAAGTAAGCATGTTGGTTCACATAGACATCTTGACTCGAGTACTCTGGCGCTCGCTCCTTGGGGAATGATGTGCAAGCTCAAATACAGGTTCAACATTGGAGAGGGGGAGCGAAGAAGAAAGAGGCCATCCAGAAAGGATCGGGCGTCGAGGGTTTGTCCGGGGATGGTGGCAAGGTGGTCGGAGAGGAGTCGCCGCCCAAGTGTGTCCAGTATTTCGAGGGTCGACAAGATAAACGACTCGACAAGATCGCAGACAAGGTCCCCAATGTGAAAAAGATATCAAGGAGGTGAAGGAGGAGGTGGATGAGGTGAAGACCGTAGCGGAGGAGGTGCAGGAGAGAGTGGAAGAACTCGAGCTCGATGTGACAGAAATGGAATCGGATATGCTTTTTTTCGTAAGCGACGGAGGTCATGGGGAAAGGGGGGAGGAAGGGGAGGAACAATGAGAGAACAACCATCATTGGCAGATCGTTGTGCGCGGCTCCGAGAATGACACGGACGGGTACGAAGTGGTAGAGAGCATTACGAAGTTTCTCCAGGAGAGGGGGTTGCAACCAGAAGGTAAAACAGGTGTGTGCGTTCGCAGACCCTACTAATATGGGAGTGGTGGAATTCGAGACCGAAGCCGAGAATATTGGATTATATCCGGAGATCCGGGGCGCGAGCAAAAATATCGACTGGAGGGGCCTCTGGCTTGCAAGCAATCGCACGTATGAGGAGCGTGCCGGCAAAGCCCTGCGGAATGTAACATATGATTTGGTTGAGGACGCTAAAAATCCCAAACCATGTCCGAATCAATTGGTAAACGGGCGTTGCACCCTTCAAGTTCAAGAGAGGTGCGTGGCTCACCGAGGCCATGCGCAGTTCGCGGCCACCCATGGAGCAGCGAAGTCTCGCCTAGATGCGCGTGGCCCCCGACCGTGGCGACACTTGCGCAGTTCGCAGCCACCCAGGGGGCCGCAATGTCTCGGCTGGGTGCGCGTGGCCCCTGTGTCCGCTGGACCTCCCAGGAACCAACGAAAAGTGGCGACAGCTGCCTGTTCGCAGCCCCCGGGGAGCAGCAAGGTCTCGCATGGATGCGCGTGGCCCCCGACTTCGCTGGACTCCCAGGACCCGCGAGAGTGGCGACCATTGCGCAGTTCGCAGCCACCCAGGGAACAGCGCAGGAGGAGGCAGAGGGATGGGGAGGAAGGGCGTGGACACCACAATGCTTGATTTTGTTAACCGCCCAGAAACACAGGAGGGTTGGTTTAAAACGAAATTCCAACAACACAGGAGGAGGATAATGAGGAGGAGGAGGAGGAGGAGGAGGAGGAGGACCGGGAAGAGGAAACGGAGGAAGAGGGGGCAGGGAAGACGCGCGAGCATTGTTCTATTCAAAACGAGAACCCAACACAGGAGGTCTGGGACAAAACAGTCGTCACATGTCTGGGTCTCTTCCCCCATCTCCGTTCCCTCTTCGTCCGCACCTCTGTTTGCACCGCGCATCTGACCCACCTGATGCGGGCAACGCGCAGAACAGGAGGCGGCCACTGTGGCGGAAAATGCACCGCGCGGGTCCGATTTCCAGAGCCCCGGTGGCAGTCTGCCAGGAGCCACGCCTGGCCCCAGTCATCCGTGCGTTGATCGTTGTTCTGGTGCGGGGCCCCCAGAGATCCCGTGTGGTTTTTGTTGCGGCCCTAGGGCCTGGCGGGGACCCCTGGTGGCCGAACACGTGAAAAAGCTGTCCAATGCGTCGGTTGTCTGGGAGCATGCGCCACTGCAGGGGCGTTCGTTGAGGAATGTGCCCAGGAGGCTGCAAGACCCTGGAGGCTTCCTTCTCTGATGGGGGCGGCTGCGATACCCAGAGCCACGACCCAATCGGTGTTCCACCAGCTTCCAGACTCTGGACTCCTTGTCCAAGGGCTCCTTATCTCATTCCCTCCGGTAGAGGGAAACAACTAGTGAACACCCCCCTGCCCCCCAAACCCAAGGTTGGCACGCGCGGGGGAGACTGCAGTCGAGGTGCAACTCATCAGACCCACCGCCAACTTTGAACATTGGGGGGAGGGGGAGGCGTTCACAGATGAATGTGGCATTAGTGTTCGCTATTTTTTCCGAGGCGATATGCCCTGCGGTCGCCGCGGCGGCCCCTCGCTCGCGGCTCCGCCAGCGCAGCAGCCGCCCGCGGCCTGCCCGCACAGGATCCTCCTGGAGACCGCGGCCCGCGGCCGTCATCGAGGAGCGCGGCTCCCTGCTCCTTGCCGCCGCGCGGCTCCCGATCTCCAGGAAAGGGGCCCAGGCATCCGACGCACGGCACCGCTCGGACGTGTGCATTTTTCTCTCGGCGAGGGCCATCGAGGAGCATCCTGGATGATCTTGCGGGGGAAATGCGCAGGAAGCGTAAACATGCGTGAAAATTTGCAATCGGGCGATGGCAAGGACGTCCTGACAAAAATCAAGACAGTGTGTTCGCCGTTCTCGGGCCCTCGGGGCCCTTACCGGGCGCGGGGCCGCCAAAGACATGGTCGGGATGAAAAGCCGGCCCGTTGAGAGAGGGTCGGGACTTCGGGGGACCGCGCAGAGCATCAATGAGAGCATTTGGCAAGGGCCCGGGCTCCCGGGCCCTCCCAGGGCCCGGGGCTGAGAAACGGGATGAATAATTAGCGGGGAACTCTCGGGGTCCGGGGTCCGCTTTCGTCAGGGCCCGGTTTCTCCATGGCAGTCTGGTAGAGGAGGAGGAGGAGGAGGAGGAGGAGGAGGAGGAGGAGGAGGAGGAGGAGGCAAGTGGAACTGGGCGACGGCAGCTATGCACCGACATCGGCTGGTGTCTTCGTCCTCCTGGCCAGGCTGGCGCTTCCAATGGCCGTCGGCCCTGGATTGGCCTGGCCGACGTCGGCGGCGGTGTGTAGCCGTCGTTGGAGGAGGAGGTGGGGAATGATGAGTAGGGGCGGCCGCCGCGCAGAGGGGGGGAGGAATGTGCGAGGAGGGTGGCGTTCTGAGACGGCACGGGGGCTTCTCAGCAGCCCTCTGAAGCAGGCGCAAATACAAGCTTTCGGATGTCCGCGCGGATTGCCTGAATCGGCGCTGGGTCCCCATGGTGGCGCCTTTGGCGCCGCATCCTCGCGCCAGGGGATCGGGCCCAGCGCCGGACCAAGAATTCCGCGCGCGAACTCAAGAAAGAGGTGCGTGTGCCGTTTGTGTCTCCTGTGCTTCACAGAAGCCTTCTTGGATGTTTGCGATCCATTTTGGGCAGCACCCCGCTTTCTTAGAAGAGCGCCCCCTCGCCCCGCTCCCCCCCTCTGCACGCCGACGAGAGGAGCAGGAGGAGCAAGATGGAGAGGACGGTGGGTACGTCGTTTTCATATCTACTCTTACACATACCCGTCACAGTTGGTCACACATGTGACCTGGCTGCTTAGTTTGATCAACGAGGGCACTGCGATCGTGGATCTCTCCAGCCATCAGTAATCAGGTTTCAGGATAGGTAGGGCAGCGGCCTGAAGGCAGGCTCGTGGTGTGTCTAGCTTCGCAGAGGCGCTCCCCAAGGGCTTGTACCGCAGGGAGCTCGGCCTCGACCAGGTCAGGAGCTCCCAGCGTGGCGGCTCTCGAACATACAACGAAAGAGAGCAGCGTCTGTAGGTGTACGCGTGCAGACGTCGACCTGCATACACAGACACTTCCTACACTGGCATGAATGCAGGTCCCGATGCATCCATCCAACCCACATACATGCACGCGCACTTACATCCAGCCGACACGCACGCACAGACGTACACACGTGCCAAGAGAGACGCCCGTGCACGCCGGTCGGGCCCATGGCGCCCTCCACCGGCCCCGCTCCTCCTCCTCCTCCTCCTCCTCCTCCTCCTCCTCCCTCCTCCTCCTCCTCCTCCTCCCTCCTCCCCTCCTCCTCCTCCTCCTCCTCCTCCCCCTCCCCTTCCCCTCCTCCTCCTCCTCCTCCTCCTCCTCCTCCTCCTCCTCCTCCTCCTCCTCCTCCTCCTCCCTCCTCCTCCTCCCCCTCCCCCTCCTCCTCCTCCTCCTCCTCCTCCTCCTCCTCCTCCTCCTCCTCCTCCTCCTCCGCCGACGTCGGTGTCTGCGGCTTGGCCGCCCACCTCTCGTGCGCCAGGCCGAGCCGCCGCGGCCCGGAGGGGAAGCCACCCGGCAGGCTCGAGCCGTGCCGATCCTGCGGCGACCCCAGCGCGGGCGCTCACGCCACCAGCGGCCTGGGATCGGCGGATCGGCGTTGTGGGGCATCGAGGAAGGAAACATGTGCATAAACACATACACACACACACCGTGGAAACACACACATTCACACACACACACACAAACGCACACACACACACACACACACACACACAAAACACACACACACACAAAACACACACACACACACACAAAAAACACACACCCACACACACGTGAGGAAAAGCACACAGACACACACACATACACACACACACACACGCACACACACACACACCCACCACCACCACCACCACAACAACAACAACGACAACGACAACGACAACGACAACGACAACAACAACAACAACAACAACAACAACAACAACAACAACAACAACAACAACAACAGCAACAGCAACAGCAACAGCAACAACAACAACAACAACAGCAACACACACAGACTTTCGGAGGTCCGCGCGGATTTCGTGGATCGGCGCTTGGGCCCCTCTGGCTGCGCCTCCGGCGCCGCCCCTGGTGCGTTCCGCGCGCCAAGGAGGGGGGCCCAGCGCAGATCCGCGCGGACCTCCAAAGGTTTATGTTTAAGTTTGTGTTTCTTCCTTCAGGAAAGCCACGACTGTCTACGAGCCATCCGCGCTGTTTCGGAGACCAGCACGCAAGTCGGCACGGCACGAACCAGCCGTGGGCGGCCACGGTGATATGCCCTGCGCGTGTTTCGGATATGGCAGCGAAGGAAGAACGCCAGAGGCTGTTCAAGAATAGAACAGCCACCGCGGACGATCCTGGCCCAGCAGATGTTTTTTGCCTGCCGCCCTGCGGATGACGGTTTGCCTCTCCGATGGGATGAGCGTTGCCCCCCTTCTCGGCAGCGCGGGTTGGCCGCACACCTTCCAGTACACCAGTTTCCTGTGCCCGAGGCCGCCTGCGCACTACTCGTGGCGAAAATTCTCTACTCCTGAGGCCTCCTCCCGCGTCCCTCCTCCGCGGCCGCCCTCATCTTTCCTTCGCTGCCCGCCGGCTTTCCGAATGCGTTGGCGTCCGCCCTCGGGGCTCAGACATGCGACGTCTCGAGGTTTTCAATACGCGGTCTTGGGGAGCCCCTGTCCTTGGCCCAGGGGTCGCGTCTCATCCCGAGCCGTTTCTTGACGGGCGGCCAGGCGAGAGTTCCTGGAGGCCGAGAACTGTCAAGCTTTACCGTCCTGTTTTGTTGTTTCAGGCGCCAACTTGTTTGGGGACTGTGCCCCATCGGCCCTCCAAGCTCGGCGGCGAGCGCGGGGGGGATGTAAGAAGGAGAAGGCCCTATCAGAAGGCGGCGAGGCTTCTCAGAAGCCCTCCGGTCTCCTGCGAAGTATTGTGCGTCTTCGGGGAAGGCTGACACAACTTCTCAGCAGGCCAAGAGACTTCCGAGCCTTTTGAGGAGGCCCGCCCCCTCTCACTTCCCCCCGTGCTGGCACAACTCGTTTTGAAAAGACAGCGCCCCGCGTCTCACCTCACCTCATCTCACATCCCTCTCTCCTCCCCCTCCTCCCTCCTCCCATCCGCCTCGTCATCGTCATCGTCATCGTCATCATCGTCATCATCGCATCGTGATGATCCACATCATCATGATCATCATCATCATCGCCATCGTCAGCGCCGCGCCCCTCAAAGGGGTCGTGGCCCCATAGGGAGCTCCACCGAGGGCCCCAGTGGCAGGGTCCGCATGCAGGGACCGCCATCCGTTTTGGCACACCCTTCCCACGCTTCTTGGCCCTGTATGGAGCTCCACCGAAGGCCCCAGTGGCAGGGTCCACATGGCGGCGCCGCCCCATTTGGGCGCACCTCTCACACGGTTCGTAGTCCAATAGAGAGTTCCACCGAAGGCCCCAGTGGCAGGGTCCACATGGCGGCGCCGCCCCATTTGGACGCACCCCTCACGCGGTTCGTCGTGGCCCCATAGGGAGCTCCACCGAAGGCCCCAGTGGCAGGGTCCACATGGCGGCGCCGCACCCATTTCGGCATACCCCTCACACGGTTCGTGGCCCCATAAGGAGCTCCACCGGAGGCCCCAGTGGCACGGTCCACATGGCTGCGCCGTTCCATCTTGGCGCACGCTCCATACGGTTCGTAGTCCAATAGAGAGCTCCACCGAAGGCCCCAGTGGCAGGGTCCACATGGCGTCGCCGCCACATTTCGGCACACCATTCACACGGTTCGCGGCCCCACCAGGGGCTCCACCGAAGGCCCCAGTGGCAGGGTCCACATGGCGGCGCCGCTCCCTTTTGGCGCACCCCTCACACGGTTCGTGGCCCCATAGGGAGCTCCACCGAAGGCCCCAGTGGCAGGGTCCGCATGGCGGCGCCGCTTCATTTTGGCGCACCCCTCGCACGGTTCGTGGCCCCATGGGGAGTTCCACCGAAGGTCCCAGTGGCAGGGTCCGCATGGCGGCGCCGCTCCATTTGGGCGCACCCCTCACACGGTTCGTAGTCCAATAGAGACCTCCACCGAAGGCCCTAGTGGTAGGGCAGGGTCCACATGGCGTCGCCGCCCCATTTTGGCGCACCCCTTACACGGTTCGTGGCCTCATATGGAGCTCCACCGAAGGCCCCAGTGGCAGGGTCCGCATGGCGGCGCCGCGTGCCCGTCTCATATCCTTCGCGGTTTTCGCGGCTGCATATGGTTGGGTCTTTCGTCTGACTAATTGTAGCCTTTCTTGCTGCTCTTTGTCCTGCTTCTGCCAGGCATTGGCGCGCTTCGGCGGCGAAGTCCGAACCCAGACTGCAACGATCGGCGACTCGATGGGCCGCTGGGGCGGGGTTCGGAATCCGAACGCGTAGCGAAATCCTACCCTACCCCCGCCTCCAATCGATTCGAGAGAGTCGCTCCCCACCTAGGCTGGTCCCCGAAAAGTAGCCGCGGCCGCGAGGGCATCCAGCAACTCACGGGGGACGCCGACCCGGCCGTGGGGCTGTTGCTGAGCGAGCTGATCGTGGCCCTGGCAGCGGCCGACTTCCTCACGGTCTCGGAGACGG